TTTTACATTTCCATGCATGCATCATTTTCTAGACAAAAATAAATTAACTTCCAAATTTAGTTCACTTAAGAAACAACAAAACAAACAAAAAACACTACATGCAAGCTATTGTGAACGAAATCAAAGCAAAGCCTTCCTTTGCTCTCACCCTAATATTCCAAGGCGTCTCATGTATCAATGATTGCTGGCCATATAGCACTTGATCATCATTGAAGATTAATTACCAGGGAAGATTACTTGACACATTTCCTGGAAGAACTGATAGATACATGTGAGGCTTGTAACAGGTAGTTACCTACTCCCTTAGAAGCAACAGCATGAGAACATGATGTTTTTCACTTCCTTTTTTGATACTACATTTTTCACTAGAATGTTAGAGAAACTATTCCAGAGACAGGCTTAATTAGTCTGTAAAAGGCCAAGTTGACTGTGAGTGACAGAACATCATATTTTTTTACACTGAATGATTTTATATTTTTTTAAAAAATGATACTATCAGAAATAAAATATGTTCTTTGGAAAACGTTACACTACAACAAAAGTCAAAGAAAAAGAAATTCATTTAAAACTATTGCTAACATTTTGATATATTTTCCAATTATTTTCTTTCTGTGCGTTAACTATTATAATGTACATCCAGTATCTTATCCTCATTTTATCACTAAACAATTATAATAAACCTTGATCTATGTTTCAATAGCTTTCCAGAAAACACACAGCTTCAGATACTATGTGGTAACTGACCCCTTGTGGAGTCCTTCCTCCATCCAGGAGCACTCACAGGCCTGTGGTGGACACTTGGAGGCACTGCAAGGTAAGTGTGGTACAGGTTTTCCATTCAGGTTGGGCAATGTCACTTTATTCATCTACACAGACATCTGTGCAACTTGTTTTAGAAGTTTAGTGTACTTTTTTTGTTTGTTTTTTATGTAAGAGAAAAGTTAGAGCAGCAGAAGAAAAATAGAGACTATTAAATATTTTACAATGTTATAAAGTAATTGTTTTATTAAAAAAAAAATCATCCTTCTGAATTTGATCAGATCTAAAGTTTTCTGAACTAAAAAACTAAAATCCCAACCCACTGCCTTAAAGCCAAATTTGGCTCATAGCAAACTTTTAAGACAGAGTGGAACTGCCCCATATGATTTCCAAGTATGTAAACATTTACTGAAGAGACTGTCTTACCATTCTCCCTTGGAGTGATAGGT